TCAATTCCCAGCAACCACATGGTGGCTCACAACCATCTGTAATGAGGTCTGGTGCCCTCTTCTGGCCTGCAGGCATACACGTAGAAAGAATATTGTATACATAATAAATAAATAAATATTAAAAAAAAAAAGAATACAACATGGGGCCCACAGCAGCTGTGGTTACATGCACAAGACCAGCCAAGATTGGGCCAGCCAGCATTTCATCATGGATGGAGGGGGGGTTCATACGGCCTCACCTGTCATCTAGGGGACTACTGGCAGTTAGTACTGTGAGAGAAGTGTCATTTTCTTCAGTGGAAAGTTGCCCACACTACAGTAAATAACACCCTGCTTATGCTCGTGTAAGCAAGCGGAAAAGACATGAAAGGAGGAGGGGAATTTCTTGGGAAGAAAAAAGAATTCAGCAGAAGATGAAGGGGGAATAAGCAAGGTAAAAGGGGTGAAAATAATTAAAATTAATTATATACATATATGAAATTGTCAAAGAAAAATAGAAATAACACTTGTAACCCTGCTTATGTAGGTTTATTCATTCAACAAATATTTATCATTTACTATTTATCAGTCACTACTCTAAATATTGAGATTTATCACTGAATAAAGCAGACAGAGACTCCAGATTATATTCTATGGTGTGGTCATCAGGGATTTCAAAAAATCTTTTTTTTTTTAAATTAGAGACATCTTTTCTTGAAGATTTTACTATTTACTTATATGTATGTGTGTGTACATGTGCATGCATGAATATATGTGTGTGGAGAGGCTTCCTATGGAGGTCAAAAGAGGGCATCAGATCCCTTGGATCTGGAGTTATGGGGTTACTGGAGTTACATATGACATGGGTTTGAAATTCAAACTGGAGTCCTTTGAAGAGTAGCAAGTTTTCTTAACTGTTGAATCATCTCCCCAGATTCTTATCTGAGGCATTTCTTTAATTAATTAATTACTTTTTCATTTATTTTATATACTGACTGCAGTTTCCCTTCCTCCTCTTACCCCCCCCTCCATCTCCTCTGTTTCTGTTCAGAAAGGGAAAGGCCTATCATGGGTATCAATAAACCATGGCATATCAAGTTGAGGTAGGACTAGGCTTCTCGTTTTGTATTAATGTTGGGCAAGGCAATCCAATATGGGGCATAGGTTCCTAAAAGCCAGCTCAAGTGATCTGAGACATCTTAAAGAATATTAATTGCAAGGAGGTACATGTCAAAAACTTTTAGATAATGGCATGTGCCCTGTGGTTACTCATACCCTAAAATGAGCAAGCTGAGTACTTACAATGTGGCTATGACAGCTGAAGAAGGGAATATACACTTTTGTGTATTTTTATTCATTAAAATTTAAAAAACTGTGACTCCTGAGAAAGCTTTACATATATTTGAAAAAAATTTTAAAGATATTTAGAACAAATCAGTATGTGAACTTACTTTTCCAATTGTGATCTCCCCCCACCGCCTCTTTTAGATTTAGTTTATATGCACGAGTGTTTGCTTGAACGTTTTTACAATGTGTGTGCCTATAGATGATTGTAAGCCACTATGTGAGTACCAGGAACCAAGGCTATGTCCTAGAAGATCAAGTGTTCCCAACTGGTGAGATATCTCTCCAGCCTGTAATTATTTTTAAAATATAAATACAAGTTAAGTATTTCTGATAAAACTTAGGACCTGAATTATAATGTGCTAAATAGATTGTAAACACCTTTTCATTAGACTTTTATGTTGATTGTGTAAAAAAATGTTTTAGATATAAAAAATTAAGTGCATTATTAAATTAGTTTTTCTTGTTTCATGTCTTTTTTAATGTGACTGCTGGAAAATTTGAAATTATATATATGATTGCACTGGTCTTTACTGGAGAATGCCATTTTGGACAGTTATGGTTTAGTTTGGCCAGGGAATAAGACCTATGTGTAAAAGCATGGCTACACATTTTAATGATACTTAAATAAGTTGAAGCAAAATGACCAGCATGAAAGGCTGGGAGTGGAGGAGCATCCCTTTAATCCTAGTAATTGGGAGGCAGCAGCAGATGAATCTCTGTGAGTTTAAAGCCAACCTGGTCGATAAGGCAAGTACCAGGCCAGCCAGGGCTACAAAGTGAAACCTTGTCTCAAAAAATAAAAATCATTAGAGTTTAGATCTTTTTTCCATTCTTAATAATCTTCAGTCTGGCCAAAAGACAAATAGTTTCAGCTATTTAAAAATTAAATTTCCAATCTCCTCTCCCAACTTGGAAAATTCATGATAATAACAAAAAAATGGCATTATAGGTATAAAGAGAAGGAAAGAGAGCCTAGAGAGATGAGTCAGCCATTAAAAACACATACTGCTCTTGTAGGAGACTAGACTTTGGTTCCCAACACCCATGTCAGGTGGCTATACCTCCTGTCACTCCAGTTCCAGGACATCCAATGCCCTCTTCTGAACTCCACAGGCACCTGTACTCATTTTCACAAAACCACATGCAGATAGATATATACACCAAATTTAAAAATAAACTAAATGGAAAAGGATAATGACTTTGGTTAGTAACAAGGAATTTCTTAAATTCACTCTTTGTTGGCCTCCTTAATTCTACTTACTGCAAGAATGCATAAATGAACACTTACCACTAGGCTGCATAGTCAATGGACTAAAAACTAAGCAAGCAAAGAAGAGGCTTCAAACTTATTCCTGGATTCACTTATATCTTGCTCTGACCGCTGACAAGTCAGTTTCTCTGTATATTAATTTCTCCATCTGTAAAGAAAGGGTGTGGAGAGAAGACAGTTAAAATTCTATGGTGAGACCTTTAAGTACTAATATTAGGCTGCACTACTAAGAAAAAAATTCAATGCATAGTTTTACTATTAGAGTATCTCAGAGTGGGAAGGTAACTTATAACAAGTACCACAAGTACAACGGAAGCCTTTATATGCATAGAAATAAATATAAATATTTTCTATATTTGTTCATATGCAAATATTGAATATAAACAGTTTCCAACTAAACAAACTGAAAATTCAAAAGTCACAAAAACCATTAATAAGGATTATAAACTAAATTCTACCATACATATTTTGAAATCTTAGCCCTATAATTTGAATGTATTTAGAGACACATTTTGTAAGTGGGTAATTACTGTAAAGTAAAATCACAATAATAATAGGGGTTAGTGTCCACTGTATTGGATAGTGCAGATATACAGAATATAAAGGGAACACTCCCCCATTGCTGGTGGAGTGCAAACTTGTATGGCCACTCTGGAAATCAGTATGGTGGTTTCTCAAAAAATTGGGAATCAATCTACCTCAAGACCCAGCAATACCACTCTTGGACATATACCCAAAGATGCTCAATCATACCACAAGGTATCTTAGCTGCAAAATTTGAGTCTAAGGATATGTTACTTTGGAAAAGAGGTTCTGTTTTTGTTCCACAGAAGACAAGAACCTGTAAATTCCTTCCAGATTAATGTGGTTTGATAGAACAAGAGCCCCTGAAAGGTCTCTATGAACCCTAAAAATACTTTGCCCAACAAATAGTAGGAAGCAGTTTGGAGAAAACTATGCCCAAATTCCCAAAGTGATTGTTTATAAATGTTTATTTTCATTTAAAAGGGGATATGATATAGAGATGAATACTTTGCATTGATATGGCTCTTGGTCTATTGATACAGATTTAAGGTCAATGCTGTTACACTGTATGTATTTCTGCTCTTGTTTATATGTTGTTGTATTATGTTTATACAGTTCATTTAAAAATGTAATGTATAATTAAATTTAATGGATTAATACATAGCCATTTATAAAAGTCAAACCTGTAGTCATGTGTTCATTAGGTTTTTCTAGATATACAGAGATATATTTCAGTTAGACAGATAATCTTCAACACTTCAAAGACCTCCAGAATATGGCATTTAAAAGGTTTTAAGAACTTAAACTTTTCTCAACAGTGAGACATGTCTGCTTCTGGCAGTACCAATTACTTCAGAGAGGTTGATAGGCATTGAAAAAAACTTATTAAGGAATTTTTCTTCATTGTGCTAAGTTAGCCATTTGGGCAAGAAACTGCTCTTGCCTAGACTGCTTGATGATATGCTGTATGAACTGAACCTGTAGGACCACAGAAAAGTGACTGCTGAACTTTCCAAAATATGGGTCCTTCAGGGTTCCTGCTTCACAGAAGAAACTGCCATACATTCTGCAGGACATAGAAAAAAGCAACTAGCCGGGCAATGGTGGCACACGCCTTTAATCCCAGCGCTTGGGAGGCAGAGGCAGGCGGATCTCTGTGAGTTTGAGACCAGCCTGTGTAGAGCTAGTTCCAGGACAGGCTCCAAAGCCACAGAAAAACCCTGTCTCAAAAAAAAANAAAAAAAAAAAAAAAAAAAAAAAAAAAAAAAAAAAGAAAAAGAAAAGAAAAAAAAGAAAAAAAGGAAGAAAAAAAGCAACTAATGAACTTTGTTAGTACAAGGAAGAACATCTTCAAATTTCCTGCTTCATGTAAAAATCTGTCAAGACACTATGGTACTGTAGGCTGAAGATGGATGCCCCAATGTTACAGAAGAACTTTGGGTGAGTGTCCAGGCAGCGAGATGCCTCTGTCAACTCCAGAGTTCTGGAAGTTGCTTACAATACACTTCCTGTTTACTTAGGTAATATAATATCCTTCTGAATCTTTGGTGGGGTTGAAGAATAGTTATACTTTTCCTTAGTTATGATAAAATATAAACTAGATATAACACTTTAGACTTACAAAGAAATATTGTAACTGTAATTCTTGTTTGATAACGATTTTATTATATGTAATGTTACTATATTAAGTTAAAAGCGTCCTTTTTATTTAAGCAGAAAAGGGGAGATGATGTGGGATGTCTTTCTGTATATGTGTTGCTTTTATTGGCTAATGAATAAATCTACTTTGGCTTATGGCAGGGCAGAATATAGCCAGGCTGGAAGAGATATAGAGAGAAAGTAGGCAGAGGGAATGAGACACTATTTAGTTCCTGAAGGAAAAATCATCAACAAAAATGCACCTTTTCATATTAAGTCTTCAAAATCTGGTATGTGATTGTAATTCATATCCATTTAAATGAGAAGTTTTAATTAGAAAATCACAAACTGTATTTCAGTATTTTAAAGTTTATAGTTAAAAAGCATCTCACTCAAGTTATTCAAATCATACTTAAATTTTTCCAAGAACTTAAATGAAGACTAGTTTCTGATTTAAAGTTATAGTAAGTTTAAAAAATAGTATTTCAAGTCACACCCAACTGCACATCTTATGGGACAAAAGCTTGAAAGAATAAATATTAATAATAGACCTCTATTAAGTGTTTATCATGTGCCAAATTTTCTCTAAACATTTCACATGTATTAAGATGTTCAATTCTCCCTATTCTATAAGGTCAAGTATTATTGTTTTCACAGTAGTAATGAGGAGAGCATTGTAAAAAGAGGTCTGAAAATTTGTTCAAGTTTACACATTTAGTTAATGGTACAATTACTCACAAGCAATAGAATCTGGCCAAATTTCTTACCTCTATGGTTTGATGGCTTTTTTTTTTTTTTTTTAAAGAAAACTAGAACACTTCATTTTACTTAGCAGAAAATGCAATCTCTTATATATCCTCTAGTTAGAAGTTCTCAGTATTGACCATCTTATAGTCTTGTCTTGATTATATGTCAATGTAAATTTGACCATGTCATTCTCATTTAAAATCTTTCAAAGGCCTACAGAGTACCATGTGATCTGGCCCTGAGCTACCTCTCTTCTGCCCCATCTCCTAGCTCTCATCACTCACTCTAAGCTCCAGCCATGGAGTCTTCTCAGCCTCACTTGAGAGGCCAAGAATCTGCATTACTTGGACTGTTTCATTCTTCTATTCAACTTGGCAAACTTTTTATTTTCCAGATCTCAGTTTAAATGTAAGCCCCTCAGAGAAACCTTCTTTGGCCTATCACTCAAGCCTTCTATTTTTCTTTAGTTATCTACATAGTAATTAGCACTATTAAATATTTTCTACACCTATTATTTGTCTCTTCCAACAGGGCCTTTGTCTTTGTAATTTATTCAGTCCTAGAGCTCAATACCTGGAATATATTAGCATGGAGGAGACAGTATTTATGAATTAAATGAAAGTATGCCAATAACCAAGAAAATAGTATAAATTCTTAAAATATAGGATAAGAAAGAAGAAAGTAATCATGCTTGAAATCTTAAAATATTTTACTTGGAAGGATTGTAATTAGAACCCATGAGTAAATTTCTAAGAGAATCACAGTTAATGAAAACATCCTAAAATTAAACAAAAAAGCTGAATACTTTAGTATCTATCTGTAAGTCACTGAAATTTGATAGGATCATTATTTAAAGATACCTTCATGATGGAAGGAATTGAGTAATATTATCATAATTTAATTCACCTTTACAAGAACTTATTAAGGAAATCTACATGATGCAAGACAAATTCTAACTGATTAAGAGTCATTTAAAAGCCATACATTGAAATGATGAAAGATTTTAAAAATATATTACATGGCTGCTTAGCACTGGAAATAGGGAAGTGCCACCGAAAAACTGTAAACTTGGAAGAATTTTCATAATATAAAACACAAACAGATTTCTGGAGAAAATAATTCAAAGCTGATTGTCTCTAAAGAAACACAGAAAAGCAAAACAAAACTTGTTTATTATTACTTGGATACATTAGAAGGTCTAATTTTCCTAAGGAGTGGGGATGGGAAGAACTAAGATTCCAAACCCCAAGCTAGCACCCCACTCTACACGCAAGTTCTAGCTGCAGAGTCGGTCATGGGGCTACTAGGTCCAAATCATGCAATATTGTTTTTATTAATTTTAAAAGTTCTTTAAAGGGAAAAGGCAAAAACTAAACTTTAAAACACCTATTCTAAATGTGATGGACTAAAAAGATCAGCTAAAGGTGTTCTACAGAAAGTGCAATAATTTCAGAACACAGAACCCCCCACAAAATACAAAACAAAACAAAATACCAATGACAACAACAACAAAACAGGACCTGTGTAACCTTTGCCATCCTAGAACTCACTCTTTAGACCAGGCTGGCTCCCAAATCCTAGGATTAAAGGTGAGCGCCACCACCATCAAACTTCAGAAATATGTTAAACTGAAACAATGAAAGAACGCAGCAGAAGCCACTCCCATCTTTCCCATTCCCCTCCTCATATCTGGTCATAAAACCTGAGGTTTTCTTACTTTCCTCAACACAAAGTCCTATGACCATGAGAATAAAAGGTGCCTCCTATACCAGAGGTTAAGTTATCAAAGGTAGAAATGCCAGGAAACATTTGAACATTCTGTCAGGGCCTAGTTGCTGAAGCCTCTAGGTTATGTTTATTATACCTCATCCTTTTTGTTCAATTTTATTTCTCCCTGACTACATCACTAAATGTGGCATAAAAATACACAAACCACTAAGTATTATGTCATCATAAAACTTAGCTAAGTTAAATAAATGATCTTATCTTGTCAAAATGTCTTTCATTTTGTAGAGGCTCAGAGTAACTTAACCAAATTATTTGGGTATCTATATTAAGCCTAAATTGGAGATCAAAATACACACAGAGCCTTAAACACATGAACACTTAAATCATCTGTATCATTTACTTTTGGTGTTTTGGTTGAGAGTCTAGCCTTCAATGGCTGAGCTCTCTCTTCAACCCTTGTCACTTATGTGAAAGGTATCCAACAAAGTAGTAATCGGACATACATGGAGA